AATAAGCAACACCCTGTACGAGGCCCAGGGGTCACTCGAGTTACAGGGTTACGTTAATATAAAGCCTGGTCTATGGGATATTTGGAATACCTAACTATGAGATAGATCCATTATGTGGTCGTAGCGTTGTTAGTAAACGTTTATTACCCCTTAATCTATCTTCAAATACGGCAGCGGTGGCCAGACCGCGTTTCGCAAGCCAAATTCGGCTCTTTGATCTTTAATATGTGGCTTGTGCAAATATGTTGGTTGAGCTCCCTTCTTTCCCCCTTAAATATAAATGATAAATAAGAAACATTTTAAGCTTTATAATTATTTACTGGGTATGAATTGAGACCCCATTGGATTAAAAAGTAAGTTTAATGTTAATGTGTATGTAATAAAAATGGATGTGTAAATTTTATTCATGTCTTGCGGTTCACAAACATCTGAACTTTACCGTATGTGGCTCTTACAAAAAATCAACCCTGGAATAACAAATCATACTTATTATAAAACCCAGGTTGTGTGTGTGTGTGTGTGTGTGTGTGTGTGTGTCTGTTCGTTTATATATTGGATCGGATTTCCTACATTTTTCAACCGATTTCAACAAAACTTCACAGGACTACGTAAAATTACATTGCGGTGGTTCTGACAGCGCCAAAAATTGAAAAAACGCAATTGCTTTTGCACGAAATCAATTTGAAAACACGATTAAGAGGCATCGCGAGAATGAAAGGGGGACAACTCATATCGAGTTATACTTATTATAAAACCCAGGTTGTTTGTGTGTATGTGTTCGTTTATATATGGGATCGGATTTCCAACATTTTTCAACCGATTTCAACAAAACTTCACTTTTTTTTGGCAGGTAGTGTTTCTTATTGTCTTGCACACTTTTTCTCTTTATTTTTACATTCAGAATGCTTTAAAAATTCCATTTAAAAGATAATTGTTTATAATAAAATTCTATTCAATCGGTAGACTCATGACGATTGAAAACAATGTTTTTGTTTGAGTTTGGGTTTGACTTTTGAAAAACAAAAACAAAACAAAACAAAAAAAACTAATTAAGACATGCGTGTCCGTCAACCTGAAACAATAATCTTTGTCAATTTTATTTTTCAGTCTTTATGATGGTCGATACTTGATCTATCTCTTACTGTTACATCCCCGGGCAACGCCGGGCTCTACTGCTAGTTATCAATAAAGAAAGAAACGAAAAGAAATTCAAAATTTCTTTAGTCACATCTTTCTTGAAGAGTTGGAACCAAAATGATAAATAGCGAAATGAGTAGAAGTCTGTCTATATTTCTGAGATGAGGTATTATGTACACTATTTACATTATTCGGACTATTGTCCTCATCTTTGTCGCCATATTTATTACAACGTTTCGGCCGTTGTACGCTCCGGTTTTCAGGTGGTTGGAATTGAACTGAACTTTTTATCTCGCTCCTGGGGTAGACTATTCTAATTCCAAGTGCCATGTTTTGATGGATGTCAGTTATCAGTAATCTCCTGTTAATTTTCCCTCTGAAAGTTCTCCACTGACTTAACCGGGTATTGAACTCACATCCGTTGGGTCCTGTCACTGGATCTAACCAACGCCTTTATCCACTGTGCCTTTTCTCTATCCAGATGTCCTCAAGGACATCTGGATAGAGAAAAGCAATGATAACAACAAAAAGTTGCAATATGAGCTCAGGTAAAAACATGAAATGATAACAGCAAAAATTGCAATATGAGCACTGGTAAAAAAGGTTGCTGAAGACATTAGGTTTATAATACCCAGAAATTCATAGAAATTCAAGGACACAGTGGATAAAGGCGTTGGTTAGATCCAGTGACAGACCCAAAGAGTGTGAGTTCAATACCCGGTTAAGGCAGTGGAGAACTTTCAGAGGGAAAATTAACAGGAGATAACTGATAATTGACATCCATTAAACATGGCACGTGAAATTAGAACAGTCTACCCCAGTGATCGAAATAAAGGGTTCATTTCGACATCCCAACCACCTGAAGAAGGCCGGAGCGTACAACGGCCGAAACGTTGTGATAAGTATGTCGACAAAGATGAGGGCAATAGTCCGAATAATGTAAATAATGTGAGTAGAAGGAATTCGGAACGAGAGTAAAATGAAAAAGTTCCGAATGCAAATGTATTTAAGAGATTTTTTATTTTTTTATTTTTGCTAAGAGATTAACCCCAAAGCATGAATTTGGAGAGCGAGGAATCAACTGGAGATGGCGAAAAGTCAGATAAGAAAGAGAATCGTAGTTGCCAAGGAAAGGCGTTCGACCGAAGAAATCGTCTTACAAGACGTTCATTTCGTAAAAGTTTTTTTTTTTTTATTTGCGAATTGATCTAAAATTGCACACGTACGATTTTTGTAGTCTTATCGTCAAAAGAATTTCTGGCGGGAAAATTTCTGGCGGGAAAATTTCTGGCGGGAAAGTCTGGCGGGAAATTATTTTTCTTTTGAGATCGGGGAAGCGGAGGTGACAAAATGAGATATATTGAATATTTTGAATCAGAGATTGCGACATCACCTAAGCCAGATTTCTACACTAGAAAAATGTAGAAATTTCTTAATTGTATATTTATCTTCGGTAGAATATTTATATAGAAATGTATGGCTTTCTGTCTAATTGAAATCGTCAAGCAATACCAATAACCATATGGGCGCCTGATCGAATGTATAGAACGTTAGCGTTTCACCCATGAGATACGGTTTCGAATCTCACTGGTCGACATCGGCATGGAGAAACGATCTTAGGCGGCATCGTTAGCAAATTTTGATCTCAACATTGTGTGTAAAATTAGTTACAAGGTACTATTCGATGGTTGGGTGAACACGAAATCACAAGTCATCGTGGCCAAGGTTTTGAACGTACTAACCTTGTTTAAACTGCTGATCCCATCAGTGTGTTCGCTCTCTCCCAGAAACTGTAACTAATCTCAGTATAGATGCAGAATAAACCACAAGCTAGTTCTATGAAGAAAACATAAATGTGCCTGAGCAGGCGGCGGCGACAGGGGTTAGCCAGACACTCTTGCAGATGGGTTTACTCAAAAACAAATATCCAGGCATTCTTCTTCTTTTTCTATATATTGTGTCCATTCAGAACGTAGACAATCATGGCTCTCCACACTTTCCTCTCTCTCGTAGCTCTTAATAAATTTTGTCTTTTTATTATTTCTTCTAAGCTTTGTTCTAAGATTCAATTACTCAATGTCACTAGGAAGGTTATTGTTGTGGTAGGATCCACCTAATTTGCATAGTGGAGTACCGACCATATAAATATGGTTGGTATCGGGAAGAGAGGGAGGAATCAAGAGATTCAACCAGAGACTCTGCCCGACTGCGACTCAGTCAACACATTCTCCAGGAACGGTCTTACCAGGAATATGCAAAAGACTATATGTAAATATTGTGTACACTTTCTTGTTTCAATACATTTTGTTCTAAGTACATTTTGTGTTGCATTATTATTCCATGCATTAATCAAATTTCAACAGTTATGTATTATTTCCTTTGACCATTTTTGCCTTTACAGATGTCCTGTGAGCATCAAATTTTCCGGACCGTCTTTCCGCATTATGTGTCCTAGAAATTTCAACTATTTCTTCCTGGTATGTTTCTTATTTGTTTCGATTATCTCTAAACTTTCGTCGTTGCTCGCATGTTTGGTCCATGGTATCCTCAGTATTCTCCTGTAGAACAACATTTCCTCTTCATCTATGAGAAGATTGTCCAGCATTCACTGCTTATACAGGAGGACTGATATTAGGTTACATTTCAATAAACTAATTTTGAGACATCTCTAAAATACAATTCCTGACAAAGTCTCCAAACAGGAACATTTAAAAAAGTTGATGAGAAACGTCAAGTAAACGTTTTCAGGGATTTACATATGTATCCAGTTGTCATTACAAAAATTATTATCTAATGAAAACCCCGAAAAAAAAATTGAGATTTTCTTTTTTAAAACGCAGGCCATTGTCACTATTCTTTGCCTTATTTTGTATCTTCGCCTTTTCTATGAAGTACTGAAAATCGCATTGTGGCATCAAACAGCCGCATGATAGTCAAGATTCAATGCTGATTTTTATGTCCACACTATATCTCTACATGTATTCTATCTGGGATGTTGGGGAACATTTTCCTATAACAAACGATATATATATATATATATATATATATATATATATATATATATATATATACAGACACACATGAGGCTAGATAGATAGATATATAGATAGATAATGGTCAGAATGATATATATATATATATATATATATATGGTGAGAGAGAGAGAGAGAGAGAGAGAGAGAGAGAGAGAGAGATGGATAGATAGATGATGAGAATGAGATAGATAGATAATGATCACAGAATGATATATATATATATATATATATATATATATATATATATATGTGTGTGTGTGTGTGTGTGTGTGTGTGTGTGTGTGTTTGTGCGTGTGCGTGTGTGTGTGTATACAGAGAGAGAGATGGAGGAGGGGAGATAGATAGACAGATGATGACCAGAATGAGATAGATAGATAGATAGATAGATATGGAGAGAATGATATATATATATATATAGTTCGATCTGAAAAGAATGAAAAAGATAATCTTTCTGTTCTTATTTTTTCTTTCTATCTATCTCTCTATCTGTCAGTCAGTCAGTCGATCTACACCAGTCTGTAAACATCTACCTAGCTAACTAGTACTAAAGTACTAAAGTCCGCATTGTAACATGAAACTGTCTCCTAAAAGTCACCAGTGTCCTATTTACACACAGTATATTTCTGTATGCGTTCTCTCAGCAATATTTGACACTCTTCCTCTTCAGCAAATTATAAACAATAATGAAAGGCTCTAATTTTGTAACCAATAATACATTATATATATATATATATATATATATATATATATATATATATATATATATAGAGAGAGAGAGAGAGAGAGAGAGAGAGAGAGGATAGATAGATAAATGGATAAAGCCTGTTCATGTCTCTCTCTCTCTCTCCCTGTCTATCTATGCCAATATCTCTCTGTCTGTCTGTCTATCAATCTATCTATGTTAATCTATCTATCTATCTATCTATCTATCTATCTATCTATCTATCTATGTTAATATATCTATCTATCTATCTATCTACCTATCTATCTATCTATCTATGTCAATATCTCTCTCTGTCTATCTATCTATCTATTTATCTATCTGTCTGTCTGTCTATGTTAATCTCTCTCTCTCTCTCTCTCTCTCTCTATCTCTCTATCTATATATCTATCTATGCCAATATCTCTCTGTCTGTCAATCAATCTGTCTATCTATCTATGTCAATATCTCTCTCCCTCTATCTATCTATCTATCTATCTATCTATCTATCTATCTATCTATCTATCTATGTTACTATATATATATATATATATATGTGTGTGTGTGTGTGTGTGTGTGTGTCTGTCAATCAATCTATCTATTATGTTAATATCTATCTATCTATATCAATATCTCTGTCTATCTATCTATCTATCTATCTATCTATTTCAGTCTCTCTCCCCCACTCTATCTATCTATCTATCTATCTATCTATCTATCTATCTATCTATCTATCTTAAGTTGCCTACTCCGCTATATGTCCCCGTTTACTGCGTTACATAACCACTGGCTACCGATTTCACATTGTGACTAAGATTAAGCTTTGTTTAATCCATAGTACTGACAACAATCACCTGCGGCTGTTGGGTGACTGGTCGGGAAGGGTACTGGAGGGGAAAGACGCGGATCGCCGAGAGAAAGCTTTTATGGTTGCCCCAACATTGACTCACTGTATTGTTGTCTTTATTCTGGTGTCGCACACATACTGGCCCGAAGCCATATTTGAATGCATGAAAGACGACAGGCGTTTGATGATTGTCTTTCGTCTTACCCGCGTGCTGCTTGGTGACAAGGAAGGGAAAAGAATTGATCAAATGTTCCTACACACACACGTAAACATCCCCCCCACACATAAGCACAAGAACAAGAACAAAGGAAGATTGTGTTGCGTCTGTCATGCAAGCAATGAGGATATAATTGTCGAGAAAATCAGAATTCATCTGATTTTGTTTCGTAGGGTTTCCCAACCTGGGTGATATCGTCCCACGTTGGGTGATTTCAAATGTTTGGTGGGCAATGAGAGACTGAACAAAAAATGAAAAGCGATTTGAAATTTTGATGGGTGATATAGGATTTTGAAGATTAAAAAGGCATTTCAAAATATGCTACCCGAAAAAAAACATATTGAAAGGAGATATACAAAGAATCTGTATATAAAAAAAAAACAAAAAATATTTGGCTAAAAAGGGACTAATTGGCGCATATACCTAGAAAAGCCCGGCGAACAATGAATATTTTGCTATTTTCTATAGATCTGAGAAGCGACATTAGCATTTAAATAGTCCTTCAGACGAAATAACATTTTTCAGATATAAATCAGATAAGAGAAAACCAAGAAGAAAAATATATTAGCTGCATTTTTATTAGTTGCTAGTTTATGAACAAAAATCGTTTAATATTTTGTCATCACTTACCAAGCTTAACCATAAAACTAACCTTGGCAATAAAACTAATCTTGACTGTAAGACTAAATAGACTAAGACTATATAGTTTTCAATGGTCAAGTATGCTTTTGTTGGTTCTTTAATACGGTAGTAGCAGCAGCTGCTGTCATATCAGTCAACGTTTTGTGTTATCTCCGTTTGGTATTTTTACTACATCATAAAGTCAGTTTACAGACCAGTAACAAACTTTTACCAAACCATTTTTATATGCTATTGAATATTTACTACACACGTATAAAAGTGGATGATGACGCAAAAAACGGTTCGCCCCGCCCCTGTTCTAGACTTCTTCACACATACACAGACGCACATAAACACACACACACATATTAAGGCAATCTTTAACCATGTAATTTTTATATATCAGAAAAACTTTAGAAATATCGATTACAAATTGGGAAATTTTATTTCGTCCTTTAGGACATCATCAGACGAAAGTGGGGTTTACGTTGATGTGACTAACGCACGGAAGACGCTGGAATTTCAAACTTTTAAATTTGAATTTTTAAAAGTCCCTTTCAAAAGTATTAGAATATGATTGCATATAAGGACAGACAACTTTCCAACATAGGGTTTTCCTGAGTATGACGATAAACTGCATCAGGCAGCAAAACCCCAGGTTTTGAATAGCTTCGAACCGCCTCTTAATTACTGCTGTTCCCAGGTTCACCTTGAGACAGGGTAGTAACACCTATTAGGGTCCCGGCTATGGTCAAACAGTGAAACCCAAATTGGGGTTAAAAATTATGAAAATATAAAAACACATTTACATAGTTACTATATTGTTAAATTTATGATTTAGCCCGGCTGGGTATTTTGTTTTTAGACGTTGTATCCACTTATTTTCATTGGGACTCTAAAATCTTTCTAATGTTATCTGCTCTGAACTTTTCTATTCTCTCAATTATAGTGAATTTGGCATGAGTTTTGAAATCATGTTTTTCTAGGCGGAAATGTTGTTCTACAGGTAATAATTTTTCATGGGGAGTCGACTTAATTCGCTTACGATAATTATTAATTCTGTAGTGAAAGGGCTATTCAGATTTTCCTACATATTGTTTCTGGCATAGTGTGCATTCTAGGAGGTAAATAATGTTATGACTTCTACAGTTAGAATCGTGGTAGATTTTGAAAACAGATTTAGTGATTGAGCTAGTGAATGAATTCGTGTTTTTAATATGTCTGCAACATAAACTTCTTTTGTTGTTACATGGTTGGGAAAATCCTGTTGTTTTTGTTGTTAGTTCATTACGGATTACCTTGTCCCCTGAAATGTAGTTACTACCTATGATTTCTTTTAGGTTCTTAGGTCTACGATATGCAAGAAGGCCGGGTTCCTTAAACAGTTTTTTTAGGTCTGGTTTGAGATGTATTATTTCCCAGCGACGTTTGATTATTTGGGATAGTGGAGGCAGAGTGGGGTTGAAAGTGGTTACTAGATGAATGCGGCTAGATTTATTTTTAATCTTGTACATTAGGGTGTCTTCTCTAGGTGTGGAAATTGCTTTATTTATTTGTTCCCTGATTAGGTGTTGTTTATAGCCACGTGTTGTGAATTGATGCTCCAGATTTTCAATGTGTTTATTTAATTCTTCATTGTTGGAACATATCCTTCTGAGTCTAAGTGCTTGTGAATAGGGAAGGTTCTCTTTGAGGTGTTTAGGGTGGGAAGACTTAAAGTGTAGATAGTTGTGGGTGTCAGTGATTTTAGTGTGTAGTGTCGTTTTGTAGTTTCCTGTTTTCATCTATGTAAATGTGGGTGTCTGAAAATGTTACTGATGTTGCGGATTTTCATATTCAAACTTAATTGAGTCGTGCACTGTGTTTAGGGTCATATAATTGGGTAAGTTTGTCATCACTATCCGTGTATACAAAGAATATATCATCGATATATCTTGCATAGAATACGCAGTCGCTACTAATGATTGAATAGATATGGGTCTCCTCAATTTTCCCATGAATATTGTAGCATATGATGTAGCTGCAATGGTGCCCATGGCACAACCTCTTATTTGAAGGTAGTGTGCTCCATTGAAATTGAAAGTATTCAATGTAAGGACATGCTCCATGAGTATATATATATATATATATATATATATATATATATACATATGTGTGTGTGTGTGTGTGTGTGTATTATTCCAGCATCATTTTCCAACTTATTCAAGATGATCTTCTCCCTCTCTAACCTTCTAACTTTCTGTCCTGGAGTAACAAAGTGTCTCATAGGTTTCACGTATGATTACATTTTCAAGTATTTTTCACTGCTATTTGGACTGTCATAGCTGAAACTCCTATCTCACGTGCCAAATTCTTATCGATTGAGTTGGATCTTTTCTAATTGATCTCTTTTATCTCTAAGTTGAAATGATGATCCATCATCAAGTTGCGACCTCGTGTTCCAGTTTTCATCTCTATTGTTCCCTCTTTTTAAAACTTATTCACCGTTCTCTTGATGATTCTTGAATGTACTTTGAAGATGGAAGCCAGTGTAAGAATGTTGGTACCATTACTGAAGGCCTGAATGATCATTTCCTTCTCACCATTGCTCATTTTGGAAGACAGTGGGACTGACACAAAACGATTTTAAACTGTTCTCTTTCTAGCTGAATAAGGGATTTTTAGTGATTCTTACAACAAATGGTGTCAAGAGCTGCAGGTTACTTGTGCAAGTTTTGTGACAAGCTTTGTAAGTCTGTTGCGGGACTTAAACTTCACATTGTTATACACATGGACAGGCATGTTCCCAACATAGGTAACACAGACAAACTTTATGTTTACCACGTGTGTAAGCGAGGTTGTAAAAGGTGAAGATGCCCATAAGAATCACTTACGGACCTATAGCAGAACGTTAGCTCAAATATAAATGATGGAAATAAAATACTTGATGAAAAACGCAAAAAAGCTACCAACTGAAGAGATGGTCTTTTTCCGCAAAGAAGTATCACCTATATCTAAAAAACTGATGGTCTGTGTGTCTGTGTGTGTGTATGTGTGTGTGCTATTTATGCACGTCCACACTTCTCGACTGAATCCGATGAATTTGTACACACCTGTTGCAATAGACCATAATAGTTCAAGACCAGCATTTCAATCTCCAACCCCCTCCCCCGGGTTTGGAAGAAAAATCGACAAACCTGAAGGTGGGTACGACTTTTTACAAAAATCAAGGTAAAGTTCTCACGAACAAAATTCTTACTGGATGAGCTGATGTTCTTTGAACTTAATGCAAAACATCAGTTCATGTTACGAGGTTTATGTAGAGTGCCTGATAGTTTTCCTGCGACATTGGCATCACACAAAAATGGTAAAAAAAATGCGAAAAAGTTTTAGTACTGCTTAAAATAAAACTTGAATAACTTCCTCATTTTTATCCGATTTTCTTCAAACATGTCGCAAAAAAAAATTTACAATCATGCAAGAAATAAAACACTGTGGTTTTAGCCCTGCTCGCTTCCCTGCATAGAACGAGAAACCACTAAAAAAACGTCCAAAACGCTCGTTTTTTTTTTTTGGTCGTAACACCCTGGCCTTTCATTTGATGATTTCCAAATTTGTCATGTAAATTACATATGACACACAAACTGTCTTGCGTGAATGTTTGGTTTAGATTACTTCAATTAAGTGGATGAAATCTGCGACAAACTCGGTCCAAAACCGGCTTTTGCCATTTAGCCAATAGTTTCTTCATATGATTCCATCCTAAATTGGTATTCGAACAACCTTTGATGCAAAGATTGTTTGAGAAGAATTATTGAAGCGTTAAAAGGGAAAATTTCCCGAAGAACCTGTTATTAACACCAGCTCTACAATAAACGTACGAAGAAGGAGGTGAGTAGGAGTCATGCATTTGCACTTGCAGTTGAATCAGGCTCTGACACTTCCTCCCTGTTTTTGTTTAATTATTAGATTTGTAAACAATGCCATGCTATTTGAAAGTTATTCCAATTATAGGAAATTTACTGAATATATTAAATATTAAATATATATTAATATATACTGAATATATTATATAT